AGCTCTAAGATGTTAACGTGATGAAAAGCTGGTTTCATTTTAATGAGAGTGGGAGAGGGAGAAGGATAGGAAATTGTGGTCAGAGAGTGGAATTTTGAAGGTCAAGGTCTAGGAGGTGGGTTGTGTGCAGTACAGTGAGATGGCAAATGGTAAATTCTTCAGGCTTCAGTTGAAAAAATTGGTTGAACAGGTTGAGCAATTGTGTGTTCAGGATGCCTCAACATGAATAGCCTAGTCTATAATGATGAGCATAGGGGGTTAGGTGGATAAAGAAATGAGAGTTTCCAGGTGCTAAAGCTATTGAAAAGGTTGGGAGAACTACCTTGAGGTAGGTCAGTATTGTGTCCAGCATCCTAGATTTAAAGCTGGAAGAGATCTTAGAGATCCAAATCCCTCATTATATAGATGAGGAAACAGAGGCCCAGTAAAATGACTTTCTCAAGGTCACACAGGTAGCAAATAGCAAAATTGGGACTTGAACTGACTTCCTGGGACCCCAGATCTAATCTTTTTTCCACTAGGTTAATTTGGGAAGAAGGTGATGTTTATAGATTGCATAGACTTTGAAGGAACAAAAATACTTTTTGGAGGGTGGAGGTAAAGGATTGAACACCTTCATTGTACCTCTCCTTATTTCTTCTGTTTCTCATCTTTTATGTGCTATGGCAATATTGTGCCTTCACCAGGACCTGAGAATACATAAAAATGCAAATTAATCTATCTCACTACCTAATGCACTCTAAGAATCACAAGTTGTAATTGTTGGTGAGATAACATACCTAATGTATGTAATGAGGTTTCTAGAATGTACAGTCATCCCTCCCACATCAACAGGGGTGAGGGGTGCGGCACCCCCTCGAGAGGGAAAATCTATATATAATTTTTTGGCTCTCCCTTTGTACCAGAGAAAAAGTCTGAATTTTTTCCTTTTCTTTTATGGGGTGTTTGCAGTACCTTATTGTAAAATTTTGGGTTAAGTATTTGGTCATAGGCTCTGTGTCATCAGCTGGTCTTCACATGTTGTTTGTGGCTTCCACAAAACTCCCCCCAAAATTCCCATTTAATTTCTTATGCTGACCTGTGATATACTGAAACTGTGATAGGGAAAGTTGCTATGTGGAAGGGATATATCTTCTGCTTTTGCCTGGCCCTAATTACCATGGTTAATGATTACCATAGGCAAGAGCTTACTCTAGTGTTTTCTAATTGATCTTATTTCATGTTCCTGTCTTCTCCAGTATCCTTCTGAAAATGTTATTTTTTTAACTCATTTTTTCCTATGATTAAACACAAATGTTCTTTTTTTTCCCCCCAATGTAGTATGGCTCATTGCTATATATGGTAATGGCTCTTAAATATGTCTCTATAATGTGGTGTTTGAAAGAATATACATTAACTGTGGAGGATAAGACAGTTTTCACTGGAAACTTTTTTATTTAACTTAAAATGCTTTAAAGAATGTCAGGTTCTATTTTAAAAGCATACACACTTGTACAAGCCAATGTGAATTGAATTTATGTAGGCAAATAGGGGTACTCAGTAAAACTCCTTTTGTGAGAAATTCTCTTGAGTTTTCACTAGAGCTGGAAGGGACCTCGGATAAATTTTCCTCTCAAGAAGCCAAGTGACTTGACCAAAGTTGTATTGGTAGTATGTAAGTGCCAGAACCAGAACTTAAATTCAGGTCTTCTGGTTATTAAATCCTGAGCTCTTTCCACTATGTGGTGTTTTTTTTCATAGGAAAGGTGACTTAATGAAGAACATATAGATGAAGTAGTTTATTATGTAGATGATTGTATATTTTTGATGCATGTGGTAGATTTGAGTTTCTTTTTTGTACAACATACAAACATTGGATTCTGTAACTGGAGGAAAGGAAATCATGTGGTAGAGCGGTTTAATAGGGGAGAGAGAAAAAAAATCTGGTTTCATTATTTAAACTTAGATGTTACATCATGTTTGTATTTTAATATGCTTAAGATAAGGCTAAAATAGGGACTTGCTTTGTAATTATCCATTAAATATGTTTCCACAGGACTTGCCTTGCTCAACTTATTAACAGCATAAAGGGTACATGTGTATGAGAATTGTGAGATACTCTTACCTTACATTTTCAAGCCTTTATATACTCCTTAATAATCTGAAACTGCCATTTAGATAAGTTGCTATCAAGTAGAAGTAGGCTACCTGTACCATATCACCCTAGGGTGATTGGGACCCAGTAGTGACACCTAGTACAGTGAGGTCCCAGTTAGTGTGAACAATGAATCACTTGAAGTGGAGCCATGTATTTAAACTTAACTACTGTGTTTGAAGTCATAATTCTGTAAAATATGGTCATTGGTTCCAGTCCAATGGAAATATGCCATGTCGCATTATTTGGACAAATGGGGACCTAGCTGTAACATGAGGATCAATGCAACAGTCCAGAAAGGTGCAGAGACAAATGAAACTCAAAAAGACAAATGCTAGAGAGCAGAGTGAGGCAGAGCTCTTGTTTACATTCTGGGAGTGTAGTCAGAAACCAGCAAATCTCCTGCTGAGTGTTGTAAGAGTAATCTAAGTTTCTTCAGGGCAGGCACTTGGGTAGTGGTGGTTATTTTTTTAATCTTTGTATCCCTCCTACACAGAATGGCACTTTGCACATAGCAGGCATTTAATCAATATTCATCGAATTGAATGAATGGCCAGAGGAGCTGGTAAGCAGACAGTCAGGAATTGGGGAAATAGGAAAGAGCAGAGAAAGTAGAACATGATGTCCAAGGCAAGACAAAGGCATTTTGTTGGCCAAACTTATTATTGGTCATTCAAACACCCAAGAGGCTATCACAATTGTTTTCTGCCAGAGAACATTTTTGCCCTATTTTGGTTGAGTTTGTAGGAGTATAGATTTAGAGCTGAAAAGAACACGAGGTGTATCTCCACCACCATTTTACAGGTGAAGAAACAAGCACAGATCAATTTACACAATTTGTCTAGGGTCACACAGCTCATGAGTGCGGGAGGCAGGATTCAACTCAGATCTCTGTGACTCACAAGTCCAGTGTTCTGCCCGCTATGTCATTTAGCTGACCAAAGGGAAGACTTTAGTTTACATTTCTAACACAAAGAACTTTTGCACCAAGAGACCTTCAAAGTGTTTTTGCCCATGTAAAAGCCTCCCTAGCCTCTCTCCAAACGTGAGGATTTCTTTATAGGTTCTCTCCCTTTATCATCCTCATGAGGATCACCATTCTTTTGAGAGCTCCTTCTTACATACTTTTCAGCTTCTTTAAATGACACTTGAATGTATTCTTACTAAAATACAATAATAAAATTATGCACTCGGCATAAAGGCTTGAAATACATGCTGTTCCAATTAAAAGAAGTATCTCCTATGCAGAACAGATCGTTTTGAACATACATATAAACTGTACCTTCCTAGACAATTCTCTTCATCCTCTGCCAGTCATGTGCTGATAACAAAATGAAACATTATTTTGTCAAACAATTACAAAATTCAGTTACATATATAATTAGGAGCAGCATGAATGCATGGTTCTCATATCTGTTGATCCAACTTTTAGTCACTGGCCCATTGCTTGCTTTCTTTCCATTGTAACATTTATCGAAAGAAGGGTCTGTGTGTCCTGCCTGTATTTCCTCTTCTGTTCCATCTGCCTGTTTATCTGCTCTGCTGAAAACTGTGTTCTTGAATCCAATTCAACAAGTAATGATTTGGAACCTACTGCATGTGGGATAAAGGTAGCTATGAATATCCTTACCTTGGCCTTGGGTGAGTTCGATATGGTTTCTACCTTATAAGTTTTAAATCTGGGAGGGGAGAGGTACATGGATAGCTGGTGTAAGGGACAGTTTGGTGTATCACAGGACACCTACAAAGAACTGTTGGGAGAGGAATTCAGACTGGAGAGGTCCCATATAGTTGTGGGGATCAGGAGGGACTTCATGAGGGGAAAGTGGCATTTTTGAGTTGGGCCTTGAAAAATAAGCAGGGTTAGTCGTTCCAGAGACTTTTTCTCATTTTTCATTTCCCTTGATTTCTTTGTAGCATGACAGTGGTGACCACCCCTCCCTTTCCTGAAACTCCTCCCTTAGGATCTGTAAACATTGTACTAACCTAATTCTCCTACCACAGACTGTTCCTTTTCTTTTGCCAAAACTTGGCAGTGGAACAAAGTATGTGACCCTAAGTTTTTTTCCTTGACCCTTTCTGCTTTTCTGTAGTACCCTACCTGTAAGTAGAAAGACACAGGACCTCAGTATCTGTTGTGGGAGTGGACATACCTTGACTCTGGGACTGGAGGTAGGGTGAACAACTCCAGGGGTAAGGGCTAGAAGGGATCTGCTGACCAGGAAGGGAACAAACTATGGAAAGCCTTCAAGAGATGGATTAAGGCTTTAATCCTGTGCGAAACTGATTGACTAGAGGGAGATTATGTGCCTGCAACTTTGCTAATCTGTGTGTAGGCCGTACCCCAAGATTCCCATGTGTTCTGTAACAAAAATAGTTTTTACACTCGACTAATAGGCTTGTGTTGTACTGCAGTGTATACTGGGAGGGGTGGGGCACTGCTGTAGAAGTGAGAGGAGGGAATTCGGGGGCAAGGACTTTAGAGGAGAACTCGCCCCCTTATTAATCTCCGCTGGGTGGTTGTGTTGGAAAATTACCCAACTGAATTGGCTGGCGTGTGGCTAGTAGAGACTTCTGTTGAAGAGCTGCCCCGGGGCAGGCACCTGTTTCATCACTACTCCTAAATTACACATTAGACTTTCATTTTAGTTTTATTCTCCACAAACCCTCTTTAAGCATGAAACTTCTTCTCCCCCCCCCAGTTCCTTTAATACCAAGTTTAAAAAAAAATCATAGTGCAATAAAATATGAATGCTCAGGAAAGTTGCAAAATTTAGCTTAAATAGACTTGGTTAAAAAAATTCTTATTTAAGTAAACTATATATTTGTATTAACAGACATTTAACACATGTTTCTTGTGTTTTAGGCTATTCAACAATAGTTATGAACTCCCGGCTACGTGCTTTGGGTGGGAGAATAAATAATATACGCGTCTCAGAACTGCCAAAAGAGAAGACACGATCAGAAATCATCTGTAATCTTCACTTCTTAGATGGCGTGGTACAGACCTTCAAAGTTAATGTAAGTTCTAGAAATGTACTTTTTATTGTTAATAATCCTCCAGTGCTCCATTTAAGTGTGGATGAAATAGTGTGCTTGACTAGGATGCAGTTTATGTTAATATAAAAACTTTAAAAAGAAAAATCATTATTTTAACATTTAACTGGTGAAATTAACTGTTTTTTTTAACGAATGGTTATAATTTGCTCCTTCTAGTAAAACAAGATTTTTGTTACATGCTAATTGACTTTTTGAATTTGATCACCAAAGAGCAAGATGTTGGTAATCACAGTGTTGCCTGGCTGTCATTGAGGATAGTAGGGTATGGCAAGAGCAAATTATGATTATAACAACAACAATAATAATAATAGTAATAATAAATAGCTAGCATTTATATAGTGTTTGTAGATTTAAAAAGTACTCTACATACACTATTTTATTCAGTCCTCACAATAATCCTGTGAGTTCGGTGCTGTAATTGTCCCACTTTACAGATGGGGAAACTGATGCTGAAAGAGCTGAAGTGACTTGCCTAAGGTCACACAGCTAGTAAGTGTCTGAGGCATAATTTGAACTCAGATCTTTGTGATTTACAAGTTCAAGCACCCTCTACCCACTGAACCATTGCCCAGAATCCAGACTCGGTGGTGTCCTGGTGATACTAGATTATCCCTGTGTAGGCCCATTAGTTTCACTTTAGTTTCACATGGATTGTAAACTTAATTCCGCTTTCTCACAAATATATACTGTTAGTCACAAAGTTTTTGTGGGCAGAAGAATGTGGTTGATTCAGGCAACTTATCCCCATTGCTGGGAGAATAACTCAGAGCATACTTGATGGTGGGTCATTAGTGCCATTATTACACTTGGAAGGACTGCATTATTATTAATTAATTATGACAAAGTAGCAATATTTGTTCCTGAGCCATAAACCCAGCTCATGCCATCTAAGCCAGTGGCACTCATTTAGCAAGGTCCATGCTTGCCACACCTCATCCTGCTTTGGCTGCTGGAAAGATGCCATTCTTTGCACTAGCCAAAATAGGTAAATCGGCAAGATAGTAATTAATGGGGAAAAACAAGAGGAGAGGCCAGAAGAATGGGGGGGGTGGGAACGGATGGACGGATGGACAGAGAATGACATAAAGATGAAGACGTGGAATGAGAACTGTGGTGTTTTACATCATCTTGACCTTTTCCATGAGGTTGTCAGTCAGACTGTTGCTGAAGACATACTCTAGTTAATCCATTAGTCTATCCTGCCAATCTTTTCTCCTTCATGTTTTTCGTATTTTTTCATAACTCTCCATAGACTTAGTCTAAATCTTAACCCACTCATTCCTTGACCGTTATTACTGTCATTCTTGGAACACATATCCCTACCCCAGAAATCTGAGGGCCAGGTCACAGCTTTATTTCTCCATCCCTTTGGCTCAAATGCCTACTTGAAATTCCTGGAGACACCACCCCAGGTGGTGGGTGATGATTGTTTTCTGGTGGAATTATCACATACCAGTACCCTTGATGGGGATATACTTAATCAAGAGCTAATCCTCCATTTTAGAATTACGCATACGATTGGCATTAATGATGCCCAGCTTTTCCTAGACCAACACCTTTTTTGGGGGCTACTCCAGGCATCTTTGGCCATTCAGTGGCTATTGGATGGTGACTGTTGGTCAGACTGTGGGATATGAGCTCCAAGTATTCTGAGTCATTTTTAGCATTTATGACTGCTGGATGACCTATTCTCACAGCACCTAATGTCCTGGTGCTCCCCCAGCCGTATCTCTTTAGTGTTCTGAGGCCTTTTTTTTTTTAAGTTCACAATAACTTTTTGTTACCTCCTATTTTTGTCACCTATACATCCCAATGTAAGCCCTGCCCCACCCTAGATAGAGTCATCCTTTAAAACAAAGAATAAAAAAAAGCAAAAAAAAAAGGTTCAGCAAAACTAAGCCAAAACACAAAAAAATTTATAGTGTTCCACATCCACAGTGCCCCACCTCTTCAAAGAAGGGAGAAAAGTACCTTCTCAGATCTCTTTTTTTTGGACCAGTCTTGATCATTATAATATTGCAGCATTCAATTTCAGCTCTTCTGTTATTATTTCCATATACATTGTTAGAGTTAGTTTCCTGGTTCTGTTTACTTCACTTTGCGTCCATATGTCTATCTTCCCTTCTTCTCTGTTCTTTTTAGTCATTGCTTCTTATCGCTTAGTAAAATTACATACCACAGCTTATTTAGCCATTCTCCAATCAATGGACTTCACTTTGCTTGTAGTTCTTTGTGACTATAAAAAAGTACTATTATAAATATTTAATGTTTATGGAGCCTTTCCAACCAGCATTGACCTCTGTAGCAGTTGAATCTCTGGGTCAGATGGACGTTTCAGGAGTTGTCTTTGCATTATTCTAAATTGCTTTCTAGAAAGGTTGGATCAATTCACAGTTCTTGTTGTTCAGTCACGTCTGACTCTTCGTGACCCCATTTAGGGTTTTCTTGGCGAAGGTACTGGAGTGTTTACTGTTTCCTTCTCTGGCTCATTGTACAGATGAGAAACTCAGGCAAATAGGGCTAAGTGACTTTCCCAGTGTCACACAGCTAATAAGTGTCTGAGGCCAGATTTGAGGAAGGTGAGGCTTCCTGACTCCAAGCCTGCTACTCTGTTATGCCACCTAGCTGCTTCCAGTTCACAGCTCTACCCACTGTGTATTAGTGTGCCCATCTTTCCACAACTCCACCAATATAGATTTTTCTCATCCTTTCTTTTTTTGCTGGCTGTGAAATCTCAGTTGTTTTGATTTGTGATTTCTTATTAATAATATTTAGGAGCATTCTTTCATATAGTTACTAATTTTTTTGTAATTCTTCCTTGAGGATTATTTGCTCATGTCCTTTGACTGTTTATCTAGTGGGGAATAACTTTTGGTTTTATATGTTTTAATGAATTGTTGGATATAAGACCTTTCATTAAAGATATTTTAAACAAAGATTTTTTGTTTTCAGTTGATCATTTCTCTTCCCTAATTGCATTAATATTTTCTGTGTAAAAGTTTTTCTGTTTTGAGGAAATGAAATTATCCATTTTATCTTTTGTAATTGCCTCTATTTCCTTTCTGGTCAAGAATTTGCCATTTAGCAATAGTTGTGAAGTGTACCTGCTCTGGTACTCTTCTACATTTTTAGTGCTTTATCTTGTAATATTCAGGTTGTGTATCCCTTTTGAATTTAATTTATTCCAGATTGCTTTTCCCAGCAATTATTGTCAAGTAGGTAATTTATGTTTATTTATGTTAATAATTGAGTTGAATGATTTATTAATTTAGGTTTCCTAGGTGATTTATGTTTGAGGGATTATTGAACTCTGGGTTATTGAGCTCAGTTTTTTCAGATTCTTCATTGTCTATTCCATTAGTCTACTTTTTCCATTCTTTAACCAATACCAAATGGTTTTGGTGATTATTGCTTTATAATATAATTTTAGGTCTAGAGGCCTTCCCCTTTCCTTCCTATTTTTATAGGTCATTGTTTCCCTTGATTTTTCTAGATTTTTTTTTTGGCTCCTGAGAAGTTTTGTTATGTATTTTTTTTTGTCCAGCTTTGCAAAGTATCCTCCTAATGACTTGGTAACAAACAGGTAAATTAATTTAGAGGTAGTATTGTCATTTTTGTTGGCATGGCCTATCCATGAGCACTGAATAACCCTCCAGCTTATTTAATTTGTTTCTTTCTTTGTAATTGGATTTATGCAGGCATTGAATGTTTTTTGATAGATTGATTCTCAGGTATTTTATGCATTTTGTGATTATTTTGAATAGCATTTCCCTTTTGATTATTTCCTTTTGGATTTTGTAGTTGCTGCATAGAAATTCTGTTGCTTTTTATGGATTTATTTTGTAGCCAGAAACTTCACTGAAACTGTGATTCCCTAGTATATTCTAAGTAAATCGTCCTTTCATCAAGAAACAAGGATAGTTTTGTCTCCTCTTTGCCTGTCTTTATGCTTTTAATTTCTTTCTCTTCCTGTTGTTTTTTTTAATGGCAAAATATTTCTATCATTTTGAGAAACTATGTCAAATAGCAGTGGGGAAAGGAAGACATTCTTATTCTCCTATATTTATTACAAGAATTTCTTTTGTTTCTCCATTGTTTATATTACTGGCTTTTGGTTTTAGATACTTTTTATCATATTAAAAAAAATCCTTCTATGCCTGTAGGTGACTTAGTGGAAAGACCATTGGACTTGGAGTTAGGAAGACCTAATTTTCAAATCCTGTTTTAGATACTTCATAGTGGTGTCTATTCTTTGGCAGGTCAGTTAACATCTATGTTTTAGTTTCTTCATTTGTCAAATGGAGATGGGAGCAGCTAGGTGGCACAATGGATAGAATGTAGGCCCTAGAGTCAAGAAAACTCCTCTTCCTGAGTTCAAATCTGGCCTCAAACACTTACCAGCTCTGTGACCCTGGGCAAGTTATTTAACCCTGGTTGCCTCAGTTTCCTTATCTATAAAATGAGTTGGAGAAGGAAATGGCAAACATCCAGTATCTTTGCCAAGGCAACCCCAAATTTGGTCGCGAAGAGTAGGGTAAACTGAAAACAACTGAACAACAACAATGATGGAGATGATAATAGCCCCTACCTCACAAGGTTCTATAAAAGGAGATGATATTATGTGAAGTGCTCTGCAGAGCTTAAAGCACTATATAAATGGTAGCTATTGTCAATATAATAAAATAAATATTATTAATTTTTATAAATTTATTACAAATGACATTTTCTCAAAGGCTTTTTTATATCTATTGTCATAATCACGTAGTTTTATATGTTTTTGTTTTTAATATGATTGTGTTGTTTTCCTAATATTGAAGTGTCCTTACAACCCTAATATTAATCTCTTTTTACCATAATGAATGATTTTGGGGAAGTAAATAGCTATAGCCATTTTACTAGGAGTTTACTAGTAATTAGGAGTTGCTTAGTGTTTTCAAATTGATATTCAGTAATGGTATTTA